ACGTAAAGAAGTTTTCAGTTGTTGTCATCCTTTGGCTTCTTTCTATCTCTTCACATGCCTAGAAATTTCCATTTATCTTTTTTTAATAAAATAAAATAATATATATATATATATATATTAATATAAATATATAAAATAAAACAAAATAATATATAGTTTTTTTAGAAACAAAAATATATATATATATATATATATATATATATATAGTTAATTGAGTCGATGGTTATTAAAAGAAATGATTGGTTCAATTCTCAACTAATCAACACCTTTAGTAAGGGGGTGTTATTAGCACTCCCCAATTTAAAACATCGGTTAACTTGTATTTGCAATGTGTTTGTTTTACAATATGAATGTTTTAAGTTTGTTTGTGAAATAAAAATTATATGTAAAAAAGTTTCATGTTCTAAACGGTATAAACACATTGTGAAATAAATATCAATTAATGCATTAAATGCCAAATTTAAATGAGAAAAAAATTATATGAAACAATATTTTAAGATAATTTTTTTATAATTATCATAGTATATAGAGTTCTCAAATAATTAAGCTCTTGTATTCTTACTAGAAGGGTACTCGCGCAGTACAGCGAGATACATCTTATTTTAATGTTTTATTTTATTTTTTATCTCAGTCGATATTATAATATGTCTTATGTGATTTTGAGAAAAAAAGATAATGTTTTTATTTTTGAATAAACTATAAATTTGAAGATATCATAAAAAATTGACAAAAAAAGATCGATATTAGTATCAAATTAACTATTTAAAACTTCTCATTTTTTGTGTAATTTTTTTAATTTATTTTTTATTATAATTCAATTCAGGTGCAATAACTAAGCAATTTTTATTTGGCTTAATATTATAATTTTCTTATGAATATAATAATTAATCATTTTGTTATAACTCGATAATTATCCTAATTATATTTTAGATTTTTTATATTCTAAAATGAGATGTTTATTTTCTATTTGATTATGTTTATCCGTAGTTAATTATACGAATTCAAACATCGAGCTTTAATAAATTGTATTTATGTACAATTTACTTGTAATCTTGAATTTTAAGTAATATGCATCACTATACAGTACTTTATGCATAAAAAATGGTTTTTAAGAATTTTTGTCAAATATTTTATAATATAACATAGATATATCAATATTTTTTACATTTTCAATTATAGTTTAAAACCAAAAATATGTAATACTATTATGTTTTTTTAAACTTATAGCTTAAAAATATTTTTTAATTGATAAATTTGGTCACGCTGTTCACACATGCTCTGTATCTCTTTCGTCACTGCCAACCTCACTCCATCGATTCTTTCGCTGAACTCTATTTATACCACCTTATTATAACGCTTTTACTTCATACCTTCGAAAATGGTGAAATCTCCAGAGGCGGAGCATCCAATCAATGCCTATGGATATGCTGCTCGAGACACTTCTGGGACACTTTCTCCTCTCACTTTCTCCCGAAGGTATGTATGGATGAATTTCTGACCGCGATACGTATCTATGTGATCCGATCTTTGGTTTTCTATTGTCTTTGTATAATGTAGGGTTATTCATCCGTACAGTTTGGGTCATCATGTAGTTTACTAGTAGGGAATTGTTGTTAATGATGATGATTTACATACACTACAGGGCTACGGGTGATAAAGACGTGAGGTTTAAAGTCTTGTATTGCGGGATCTGCCATTCCGATCTTCACTTTGTCAAGAACGAATGGGGCATGACTGTTTATCCCGTTGTTCCTGGGTATGTTTTAATCGACTTGTCTCCATCCGAATTTAATTTCCCCAACTGCATGTGTTTTTATGTTTCCCATCTCTGTATGAATGCTCTATTTTTCTCACCAACGTCTTCCAGTTTTCAATCTTGTTGTTGTTTATATTCAGTGCAGTAACAAATTGATAACATGACCGACAGGATTCAGATCCAAAAACTGTTGAAATCAAACTTAGGTCTTACTAGTTACTAGATCGACTCTTTGATTAGAAGAATTGGGAATTACTATCAAAATAATCCTGTCAAAAGATTATACACCCTTTGAGTTCCTTGGTGCATGCTATTTTGACTTGTATTGACCGATTATTTACTACTAGTTACTTACCGATTCTGTTGACCGGCCATATTGGATCAACCCTGAATTGACTGGACAGGAGTACAGGACATGACACGAGTCACATGACAAGAGAACAATATTGGACTGAATAGGACCGGACATGACAAGTTGTCTGTTTGGCACGGCTAGGACTGGGCTGGACAATTTGCCCCTAAATGTTGTTTGATGATTTTATATAGTGGTTACTGATTGTAGTGGAAGAGGAGGTGGTGATTGTGGGGGTGGCAGAGCCGCGGAGGTGGTGATTGTGGGGGTGGCAGAGCCGCGGAGGTGGTGATAATGGTGGTGGACTGGTGGTTGTGGATGGCGTGGAGATGGTGGGTGGTGGTGGTGGCGGCCAACAGTGGTGGATATGGAGGTGGAAGTGGTCAGTGGCGGATCCAGGATTTTTGTTCAGTGGGGTCACCTTTAAGGTAGACTAAAAACCCGTAAAATCGTTCGATGTGTTTTTAACCTAATTACAACGTTTTCGAGGGAATTTTAAAGTTTTTTGGTTGATTTCGAAGGATTTTTTAGTGTTTTTGTCGATTTCGAATAACTTTTTTGGTTTTTTTGATTGATTTTAACAGATTTTTTTGTTTGTTAGAGTAACAGTTTTGATTGGGGTTGGGGGCCCACGAAAAAAATGTAATGGGGGAAGTGAAAGGTAAATCATGTAAAACCTAAATTTTAACCTATGAATTTTTGTTTTTTAGTTTTTGACTGGGGTCCCTTCCCCCCTCCTTTAAACCACTACATCCGCCCCTGGAAGTGGTGGTGGCTGGTGGTCGACAAGTTGTGGAGGATATGGAGATGGTTGACTGTGTTGGCCAGGCTTGGTGGAGGTGGTCGGTGGTGGCCGCCTGTGGTGGTGGTGGAGGCTATGGGTGGTGGTGATCATTAAAACCAAATACTATATTAAGGTTATATCAAATGAGGGTAGATGGTGATTTTTTAGTTCACTCATATCCTTCTCTCAGCTTGTTCCACCTATTTTGATAACAAAAAGTACCTTTTTTTGTCCTATCCAGTCCCATGTCGAGCCATTTGTTTTGTTTTGTTCTGTCCAATCTCATGTACCAAAAGCACCCTTATGGTTTAAGGTCTCTCTGTTTTAAGTTCTATTTTTTCTTCACCAATTTCTTCTTTTTTTCTTTAAGGTTAGTTTCTATCACCAATTTGAGTGTAATTTTTAGCTTTTTGTCATCCACTTACTTTTCTGTCACCTTAAAAGAAATTAAGTTTAGTCTAACGTCACAGCCGGTCAGCCAGAATGATGTCCCTGTCATGGTGTTAGAATAAAAATATTTGTTTGGCTTATACCATTGAGTAACACCTTAGGTTGGAGGAAAGGTTGTTGTACATCTTATCCTCCTGAGACTCCACTCCTTGTGGGATTTACCCGGTTTGGTTTAGTCCTAGACAGCTTGATTGTTAGATTTAGTTATTTGGTCATGTTCCCACCATGTTTGACTATTGATTTTACTTTAGAACCAAAAACCAACATTTTATGATAGTTTTTGCCACTTTGTTTCCAAGGCCTTACGGCCGTTGGAGGGTTGTTCGACGTTTTTCCTACCTTACATATATGTTATTGTTTCAATGAGTTTGACCCGTTTGCGGTACATTAGTTCTAGATTTTCTTGATGTAATTGTAGTTGTCTATATTGTGCTCATGTTCCCTGGTTTGTGTAGTCTATTTATCTTTCCTCTATATGCTTGTGCACACACTCTCACCCATTTCTTGCTCGCTTGTTTTATCTATTTGTTCTGCAACTTGGTGGTCTGCATACAGCTTACTCTCCCCAAACCTACCTCTGTGTGGGATTTGCTTCGTCTGTTCGGTTTGGTTTAGTTTGGTTTTCTTTTCATAGAACCATTGAATTGAATTTTGGAAGTCTTATTATAACCTTTGAATTATAGGGGAAATATACTATATGCAAGTGTACATGTTTTTTTTTCTTCTGATTGTGCATGAATGAGGATTAATGCAGGCACGAGATTGTTGGTACGGTGACGGAAGTAGGCAGCAAAGTAGAGAAATTCAAAGTTGGGGACAAAGTCGGCGTTGGATGCTTGGTGGGATCATGCAGTTCATGCGAAAGCTGCGCTAATGACCTTGAAAACTACTGCCGGAAACAGATTCTCACTTATGGTTCCCCCTGCTTTGATGGCACACGCACATACGGTGGGTACTCGGATCACATGGTTGCAGATGAGCATTTTGTGCTCCGTTGGCCAGAGAATTTGCCGCTTGATACTGGTGCACCATTGCTCTGTGCTGGGATCACAACTTACAGCCCCCTCAGATACTTTGGACTAGACAAACCTGGTGTGAAGGTGGGCGTAGTGGGTCTTGGTGGGCTAGGCCATGTTGCTGTCAAGATGGCCAAGGCTTTTGGGGCAGAAGTTACAGTCTTCAGTACTACCCCTAACAAGAAGCAGGAAGCACTTGAAGGGCTTAAAGCTGATCATTTCATAGTCAGCCAAGACCCAGAGCAGATGCAGGTGGGATATTTTCTTGTGTGAAGTTGTTGAAGCTTTCTTGGTGTTTGTTTATTTCTGATTTTAAGGATTGATTATGTGGTCTATTATTATAATCAGTCTGCAGCGAGTACATTGGATGGAATAATTGACACAGTGTCTGCAACTCACCCAATTGCACCGTTGCTTAGTGTGCTCAAACCCCACGGGAAGCTTGTGCTTGTCGGTATTCCAGAGAAGCCACTTGAGCTAGCTGCATTTTCTTTAATCATGGGTAAGCATTTGGTCTCCCTTTTAAACTGTTGAAGATATTTGAGCTCAGAACCTAATGCAACCTGGTAAACATTTAGTCCATTGACTTGTTTCTAAATGGTGTTTTCCAAAGTTGTATGATGAGATTAGGAAAGGGGTTAAGATGCATCTTTATAAGATCAATTCTTCTCTTTGGGCATAAATCTTAAACATCAATGAAAAGGTGTACTGATCAAGAACGTCTTTAGTCCGCTTCTTGTCATGTTTAAGATGATAATATGGTCATTATTGATGAGGAACATCTTTAATCTACTTCCTGTCGATCTTAACTAGCCACCCCCACAAGCCATTTGACCCTTATTTTGAAGTCTCTTGTTTTGTGGTCTAGATAGTCATAGTTGGTGAAAGTCTGTGCATTTCAAATACATTGCCTCAAAATTTCAAATATCAGCTATACTTTATTAACACTTGGGAAGTAAATGGGATCTACAGGGAGGAAAATTGTTACTGGTAGTGCAATTGGAGGGTTGAAAGAGACTCAAGAAATGCTTGATTTTGCAGCGAAGCATGGCGTGACTGCAGATATAGAGGTTATCCCGATAGACTATGTGAACACTGCCATGGATCGTATCTTGAAATCTGATGTTAGATACCGGTTTGTGATTGATGTCGCCAACTCCCTCAAAGCTCCATAGGTTGGTGAAGTTGCTTTGATATGTGCTTATCATTTTAGAACATGAATAAGATTTGCAAGTTCTATTTTGGCATGGTATTCGATCAGAAACAATCCTTGGTTTTGAACAACGTTTACTTGATGATCTTAAATGCAAAATTCTGAAACCATCTATGGTTTGGTTCTTGTTATGGAGATAGTGTTCTTGCCTATGCAAACTCCAAAGATACACATCTGTTGCATTTTAGGTGTTTATGGTGTCCAAGGAAATGAGTTTTTATAGGTTTTATTCCTATTTGGATTTGAACATGGGACCTCCTGGTACCTTTGACCTTTGGAGTCAAGCTCAAACCAATCAGGTACCATCCTTGTGGTTTAACGCTTACCATATAAAAATTAGGAAATGGTAAAAGAATTTTAACAATTTTTGTTTTTCTAACTTTTGTTTTTACCCATTTTAGTAGAAGAAAAAATGGATATTTATCTCACGTACCAAAACTCATGTGTAGATAGCATTGAATTGTGGTTATGACTTATGACTTGAATCATGTTATTGTACTATTTGCTTGCCCTTATAAGATAACAACCCAACTTTAATGCATTAGACAACTACCACATTACTAGCCAAGTAAGTGGATGGATGCCAACTAGAGATGTTCAAATTAGGCTGAAAACTAGTGATATACCCATCCATTCGTTCGTTGGTCAGGTATAAAATCTAATTTAACAGTACTTTATTATGAACATGTAACCAAAAGAAATTATGAAAATTAAAAAGATGACTCATATTCAACTATTCAAAACTGAATCTCATCTCCAATACCCACCGGTTAATAAGACACTGGTCCACTCGTTCATTGGCTAAGTTCCAACTCTATTTAATCCATGATATGACAACTCAAAATCAACATTATTTTCAGGACCTAAGTGTTCTTATCACTATTTGAAGGAAAAAAATCAACACTCTTCTCCTCCCTTCCTCAATCATAAAATATAAATATAAGGATATATCATAAAAAATTTAAAAAAAATATTGATATTGGTACTAAACTAACTCTTACTTTTGTGTATTTCTTTAATTTATTTTTTTATTTTTGGTTTAATAATATAACTTTTTATAAAGAGTATTTTGTTAGAACTCAATGATTATTCTAATTATAATTTAGATTTTCTGTATTTAAAATGAGATATTTATCCTCTATTTGATTATATTTATTTGCAGTAAGTTATACGAATTCAAACATGAAGCGTTAATAAGTTGTACTTACGCACAATTTACTTGTAACTGAATTTTAAGTAATATGCATCAATAAACAGTACTTCATGCATAAAAAATAGTTTTTATGAGTTTTTGTCAAATGCTTTATAATATAACATAGATATAGATAGTATAGAAAAAATGCAATATTTTTTTCAAAGGAAATTGTTCAAAATAGCCATTTCTATCGGATAAATTTACTTCTTAGCCATTTTTCTTCAAAATTTCTAAAATATCACTACCTCCACAAATAACAACTCAACTTGTGGAGGGGTCAATATGACAAAAATAAAATTTGAACATTGTTTGCAAGTACAAGGACCAAATCTGTAAATTAGTTAAAGGTCCGCAAATAGCTACTTGCGGAACTATTTAGACTTTTACATATTTGGTCATTGTACTTGCCGGCCACGTTTAGACACTTCTTTTCTTTATGCTTTGACCCCTCTATAAGCAAAAGAGTTGCTTCTTGCAAAGGTAGTGATATTTTAAAATTTTAGAAAAAAAATAACAAAGAGGTAAATATATAAGTATAAAATGATTATTTTGAGAAATTTCATATTATTTTAATTAATATGAATTATTAACGATAAATAAAATATTTTATATATAAGTTTTTTTATAATTTTTTTGCTTTTATTTAAAATAAAATTCTTATCAGTATAAACATTGTTTTTTTAATGATTATAAAAATAAAACATAAACATTGAGATTTGATATATAAATAAAACATAAAAAATATAATTATATAAATAAAGCATAAAAATAAATTTATATTATTTTTCACTTATTCTAAAATGACGTTATTTGTAATACAACTAACATGTAAAAGTTGCATGTACTTATTTATTCGATCTAAATATGAGGTAGCCCATGTAGCAGTACACTGATAACTGAAATGAAAAATAAATTGATGTAATAGTGGGATCAAATATCATTCTGTCAAGTTTAGTTTCACATAATGGTTACTATTAACATACCCGATTGTGAAGGCAACATGTCTATACCATACTGGCGGAGTAGACCTAAGAGGCAAGTATGTTACACAACTTGCAATGTATAGAACATGTAATATCACAACATAGTCAGGAAATCCGTTTCAGGCATTGTCATCCAATGTTCAATCGCGACACCTTGATCTGATGAAAGAATTTTAAATAGGTGTAAACTATATTCCAATATTGACTTCTCAATATGTTGAGGTATTCTATCTTATGTGCGTCTAACTCTTCGATCAATTTAAACCGAATTGGGGGTTATGCATTGACGTGAGATTTTACACACCCTCAGGCATGGTGATTAGGACCAAAAGCACGAATATAATTAGCCTTGATATCGTCATTCAAGTAATAAAGTGGTACAAGTACCGAGTATCGTCCACAGGGATCGTAGTAAAAGCTTAATAAAAGTAGAATGAAAGAAATGGCTTCAAATGACGATTTTGAAGACTTTGATTGGTTGTTGAGCTAACAATTTGAAATAACAGAATAAGTAAAGTAGCATAGGTGTAAAACTTGTGAAGAAACATAAACACAAATTCCAGCAGACAATGTTATAAGAATGTTACAGCAATCAGTCAATCATAACTAGTTCCACCATTTATTTTGAGGGTATTTCTTCCAGACTTCACTATTACATTAATGTTTAGATTTCAACCCATATTATTATCAGGACCAATGGTAGTGCAAATGGTGTCCTCAAAATATATGGATTAACAAATTCCTTTGTCTAAAAATCACTCTTCCGAGCAAATTCCCACATCATTCAAGTTAGTGTGTTCTTAGTGGCTCATTTCTGAGTCAACTACACTTTAACACTTTGATAAGCGGTCAACCTGTTGAGAATAATCAATTTGAAAAACATAGATGGCAAATTCCTTTATCAATAACTTTTCTAAATCTACTTCTCATATCATTCGAATTGACGTGCATTCAATGATTCATTCCCGAGTCTATGACACTTTAACACTTTGAGAGTAATTAACTCGTCAAGAAGTGTCTTTGACTCAAAATTCATTTCCAGCCTCAAAGATAAATGAATAGAGGTTCCCAATACATAATGAAGAACTAATAACCTTTTGGCAAGAATCAATAATTTCTAACCCACCTCCAATACCCATTGAAATCCTTGCAAAGCAACCCACTTAGGTCCCGTTTGGTTTGAAGGAATGAAATGAGTTTGCGGGGAATTGCATTTCAAATCTATTCCAATCTCATGCTTGATTTGTTGGATTGTCCGGATTTGAAATCCTAGGATTTAATTGAAATCCTTCAAACATAGGATTTTGAAATCCTTGGGGAGTACTCGGATTTCACGAGATTTTCTATGATTGTATGCAATAAAGTTTTAAATTTTAAAAAATCCGTGTCATGTAATAATTGATTAATAAAAATGTTATTCAAATATTTTTATATTTATTGATAAATAATAAAATTCAATTTCATTCCAAATCCTACAAACCAAACACATCAATGATTTCAAATCCATTCTAATCCAAATGCAAATCCAAATCTCTAAAAAATAATCTTACAGACCAAACGGAACTTTAAAAACAATTTTTAGATTGAGATACAAAATCCAAGGAAGCTTTTCAAGAAATCAAAAACCCTTTTGCTGCGCCTTCTTTTAGAATACACAAACAACAAACAACAAATTAAAAATGATATTTATGATTATAAAGGTTTGAATTGTATGTATTAAATATAATTTTATAGTATTTATTATATATACTAATATAATTAAATCTAAAAATATTTAATACTGAATTTATTTCGTAGGTATTGACAAAACGATTATAATTGTGTTTATTTCTTAAAAAAAGGAAAACGTATTTTAGTTAATATTCAATTATGTATGTTAACATGATAAGAGTGTAAATTTGTTCTTCAAGATGCGTTTGGTATCCAAAAATGATAGGACATGACAAGACGGAGCAAGACAAAACAAAATGTCATCATTTGGTAAGACAGAACTGGATAAGACATAACAGATAAAATACTAATCTATCCCTAATCAATTCTTTATTTATTTTTTATTAGTTTATTAAATTATAATAAAATAAATATTTTTATAACAAAATATATCATTAAAAAGTTTTCATCAAAACAATTTAAATGACACCACAATAAGAAGTTTAAGTAGTTTCAATTTTAATTTTATACATTTTTTTAATATTTTTTATCAATATTCAATAAACTACATAAATTAATTAAAAAAAAATAAAAATCATACAAAAAATATTCTGAGAACAATAAAGTGAAAATTTAAAGAGTATAAAATATAATATATAAAATTTAAAGAATGTTACCTATCTGATGTTTTAAAAGAAAATTAGGTTTTATTTTGATATTATATTAATAAAATACTAGAAAGATACTTGTGCAATGCATCGAGACATATCTCGATTTCAATGTTTCATTTTACTATTTATCTATGTCGATATAATAGAGTTTTATGTGGTTTTGAGAAAACGATAATGCTTTTATTTTTTAATAAGATATAAATTTGAAAATTTCATAAAATTTTGAAAAAAATATATATCAATATTAGTATCAAATTAACTATATAAAAGTTTTAATTTTTTGTAATTTCTTTAATTCAAATTTTTTATTATAATTTAATTTAATGTAGCGAAGTAATTTAATTTGATTTAATAATATAATTTTTTATAAAGATAATCATTAAGTGTTATGTTAGAACTCAATGATTATCCTAATTATATTTAAGATTTTTTATATTTAAAATTAGATGTTTATCTTGTATTTGATTATGTTTATCTCCAGTTAGTTACACGAATTCAAAGATAGAGCTTTAATAAGTTGTATTTACGCACAACTTACTTATAATATTGAATTTGAAGTAATATGCATTAATAAACAATACTTCATGCATAAAAAATAGTTTTTAAGAATTTTTGTCAAATATTTTATAATA